TTACCCACAGCCGTAATATGCACTCCATTACAACGATATTCAGGGAAATATATCAAATACAGCTCAGAAATATCTTTGCCAAATTTTATCGAGATCAGTTCAGATTTGGATATAGCTCCCATATATATCTTTATTTGATTTTAAAGTAATTTTGCACCAAATGGGCAATACAAGTCCGAATTCAAAAGGTTCAATTGCTTCGGCATATTTAGTCCTTTGAACTTTAAATTATAATTATAATCATAGCGTATATGGTAGAATTCTCCCATAAAAAATGTTTAATTGTTATGTGAAGGTCCCGCCCGACATTAAGATTTTCTTGACTGCACGGATTTCATGGAATCTTAATTCGAAAATTTTTAAAAGTGATAATTCACTTTGGTGGGGCGTTACTTTACAATTGAAACTCTCAAACCGCTGATACATGTGTTTTCTTTTATTAGGTCTACTATCATAATCTGCTGGATTTTCCCCGTAGTTTTTGGAAAAATTGTAATATCTGTTTAATGTCCACTCCATTTGAAAGTTGACTATCGAAAAAGTAATTACAATACTAATTCTCCGTCCAACTACAATCAGCAATCACTACACTCACACACTTCTACCAAAATCAAAACCTTTAAAAAACTAATTTGTTTTACAGTTCCATTTTTTGTGTGGGGCAGCAATTCTCTCGTCACTCATTTTTGTTATTCCCCCAACACAAATGCCTCTTAACCTCTTTTCAAAGTCGCTTACAAAACATTTCCCATTGACAGATAACGGTATTACAACACCGCATAAAGCAAGGCAATGACATGACAAAAACTGCAGTTAACGTTAGTGTTCTATGGAGGCGATGGAAGATGGATGGAGGAGGGACGGGTAGTGAAAAGGATATGGATATGGGATGGGGGGACACACTAAAGTAGTTCTTTCATTTAGTTGATTCTCTCTTCGTTGTCATTCATTAAACGACGACCCCTGAGTGTGAACGCATTGAATGAATAGTGGCTGCCTGGCTAGCGGTGGTGGTTGGTGGTGTTGTAACTTGTGTTGAATGTTTGTTCGTTTGTTTGTTTGCCAGCTGAAAGTCGACGTTTACATGCAACGTCTAGTTATCTTTCCCATTCATTGAGTTGAGCCAGGAATTATAGTTAATACAAAGTAACACGGCACAGTAGTCGACCGTTCTACCGACTATCTAACGAAGGTATACCGGAATTGCTCTGGTTTCAGGCAAAACAAACAAGAGTCATTTAAAAAGTATATTGGAGCAATGAGAATTGTGAATGTGTGTATGTGTGGTTTTTTACTTTTTCTTCGTGCCATTCATAAAGTTTGACTGGAGGATTAGGGGGAATGTCATAGATCATGGAAGTGAATTAAGCGCACATAAAAGTTTGCAAGAAATCAAAGAATTTCGAAAGAAGTTCTGTTTTAATTTAAAAAAAAAAGATGCATGTGGTGAAGGGTCGGCGTAGGTGTTTCAGTTCGGATTTAACACATATTGTTGTAGTACATAATACTTTGCGACAAAATTCAATTTTTCTCAATAATTATGGGGAAGAATCAGCAGATTAAAAGTTTACATCGAAAAGTAAAAGTAAGTAAGTAAAGTAAAAGTAGAGGGGCAAATTCCCCCCTCTTTCACGCTTTTGGATATTTTCAGATTAAGATTCCTCGTAATCCTTGCATTTAAGGTAGGAATTATTTCGCCGAAAATGTTAATCTTGAGCGAGTTATAAAAGGTTCTTTGTGGTCCTTTTGTTACGACCCCTTTAAACGGGATCGGAGCAAGTCAAAATATTCCAGAAAATCATTTCTCATAAAGTTCTACTGTAGGCCCTAGAAGGTCCTATGTCTAAATCTTATCTAAACGCCAGAAATTTATTTATATATAAAAAATAAATTTTAGGCTTAAAGCCGTACTTCTCTCTCTATTTCCTGTACATATCAACAAACGTTTTCAGTTGGCATTTTGAGCTTTTTTTATGTAAAAAATCTGTTAAAAAAAAATTAAAATTCACCTCTTGGTGCATCTTGTTTAAATTTTATAGCAAATTAAGAAAGAATGCTAAGTTTTGCAGAAATAAACAATGATATTTATTAACAAAAATGTACGTATGTATACAAATTTATTTTTTCCGAGACTCACTCTCTCCTCAAAAAATAATGTATAAAGGGTGATTTTGTCCTGGATTGGATACATGTTAAATTAACTGTAAAAAAAAAACACTTAAACATAATTTTTTTTAATTTAATGTCTTCTAGGACCTACAGTAAAATTTTTGTCACATAATTTTGTGAAATATTTTGTCTTGTTACGATCCCGTTTAACGGAAGTTTTTGACAATTGATCAAAATATCAGACGTCTAACCAATTTTAACAAATTTGATATAGAAAAATATGTAGATTTACCAAGTCTGAAAAGTATCGAAGAACTGTTTCGCAGGTTATGAGAGATATAAGTATTAAAAATTGTGAAATTGTGGTTCAATATATAATAACTTCCCACCACATTTTGCTTGAGAAAAATATTGGGATATGTTCAATTTGAAAACAATCGGATGTTTATTCTCCATTTTATTATTCAAAATTTTAACCCGTTGTGGGGGAGGTATCAGAAGGAGTGTCCCGATATATTCCATCTTCAAATTTTGTTCTTTTTTGATGGAAACATTGAGATATGCCGAGTTTGAAAGGAACCGTATATTTCGCGCTATTCAAAATTTTGACCCGTTGTGGGGAAGGTACCAGAAGAAGTTGTCCGGCATATTCCATCTTAAAACCTGGTTTTGTGTTGATAGAAATAGTGGGATTTGTGAAATTTGAAGAGAATCTGATGCTTATTTCGTATTTTATGAAAGATATAATTATTCAAAATTCATTATAACACTTATTCATTACTTTATAAGAGTTATAATTATTCCAAATTTGGATCTCTTGTGGGGGAGGTACTTGATGGAGTGGGTTCATATTGCCCATTTTCGCATACGATCTAGCACTGATTCAAAAATTTGGATTTGCTAAGTTTGAACAAAATTGGATCATCTATACTCTTTCTGTGCAATATTTTTTTTTTTATTTTTATACCCTACACCACAAGGTGGTCAGGGTATTATGTCTTTGTGCATTTGTTTGTAACAGGCAAAAGGAAACGAGATAGACCCATAGTTCCTTTTGATGATCTGCATAGAATTACTTTCTGAGTTGATTTATGCATGTCAGTCCGTCTGTCCGTCCGTCTGTCCGTCCGTCTGTCCGTCCGTCTGTCCATGTATTCTTGTGAACAAAATGTAGGTCGCATTTATTATCCGATTGAGATGAAATTTTCCAAACAACATTTGTTGGGCCCAAAGACGAACCCTATTGAAATTGGAGATAATCGGTAAAAATTTAGATATAGCTGCCATATATATCTTCGTCAGATTTGCCTTTTATTGTGCACCAAACGTGTAATATCAACCCGAATAGTATGGAATTTTGCACATACAACCAAATTAGGCCTGAAAATAAGAATGCCAAATTTGATGGAAATCGGTTCAGATATAGCTATAGCTCCCATACATATTGTTCATCCGATTTGTTATTTTTATCAGCCGCAGCCGTAATATGCACTCTGTAATAAAAATACTTAGGGAAAACAGAAATACCTTTGCTAAATTTTATCGAGATCGGCTCAGATTTGGATAAAGCTCCCATATATATCTTCGTCCGATTTGCCTTTTATTGTGCACCAAAAGTCTAATATTTGCCCAAATGGGATGGAATTTGGCACATACAACCGAATTGAGTCTAGAAGGTAGTATGCCAAATTTGATCGAAATCGGTTCAGATATAGCTATAGCTCCCATATATATATATTGTTTATCCGATTTGTTATTTTAGCCCTCCGCAGCCGTAATATGCACTCTGTAATAAAAATATTTTGGGAAATATATCAAATGCAGCTCAGAAATACCTTTGCTAAATTTTATCGAGATCGGCTCAGATTTGGATATAGCTCCCGATTGTCCGATTTTAAATTAATTGTGCACCAAATGGGCAATACAAGTGCGAATTTAAAAGATACATTATAATTATAATCATAAATTATAATTATAATCATAGCGTGTATGATGGAATTCTCCCACAAAAGCTTTTGATTGTTATGTGGAGCTCTACTAAATTAGCAAAGTGGTGTAGGGTATCATAAAGTCGGCCCCGCCCGGCTTTAGGACTTTCATTACTATGTTTTTTTTTTTTTTTTGTAAAATTTGACATCCACCTTGCCCTACTTAGTTATCCACAAAATCCATGGATTCATAGCTTGTGAATAATAGTTTAAAAGTGGTGTAGGGTATCATAAAGTCGGCCTCGCCCGGCATTAGGACTTTCTCTGCTGTTTTTTTTTTTTTTTTGTAAAATTTGACATCGACCTTGCCTTACTTAGTTATCCATACAAATCCATGGATTCAAAGCTTGTGAATAATAGTTGACAGAGAGATATTTCGAGATATATCACCCGAAAATAAAAAAAATAATATTTCCTCCTTATTATGGCGGAGGCTACAAAAATCTTTGCTGGGTTGATGCAGCCTTCACTGCATTTTAATAGAATTCCACAGCATTGAATTATTTGAATTATATTATATTTCAGTCACTTCAGGAAGTGGCATTAATTTGACATGATGAATACCCCTAATAATCAGAAACAATCAAGGACTGTTTTCACTTCCCTCTTATTACATGCATTTCTATGCAAATTACCAACACATACACATAATACACAAATACATCCATTGCAATATGAGTTTTCATGGCATCCTTTTATTAGATTTCATTTTTTTTTTTTTTCATTTTATTTTTTATTCTATTCCCCATTGAAACAAACTAACAACGATAGCTACCCATTATCAATGTGAATTAGTTACAAAACTTTAACAAACACATATTTTTTTTTCTTTATTCGAATGCATATTTTTTCTATGAATCCTTTTTATTATATATTTTATTTCATTCAACAATCTATACTCACCAATTAGCAAGTTAACTCCTTCGGTTAGGTCCTTATCGTACAGTGTTACCAACTTTCTGCCATCGACTATGAGTGGTGTTATATCCAGCAGGATACCCTCGGTAACGTCACAGTGTTCATGTCCGGAACGTGTTACCTGATACACCTGAGTGTTGTGTGCACTGCGGAAGCCACATAAAAGAATTCACAATAAGCACACACACCCACACACATAGAGATATACAATAGCACATTTGACATCGCCAGCCATAGAGTAAACAGCAGCAGCATCATCATCGCAAGCATCAAGAGCATCGTTGTTGTCATTTGTGAAGTTGCAGAAAGAGATATGAAAAGAGAAACACAAAAAACACAAATGTATAAAAAATTTGAAAAATAGAGAAAAACACGTTAAGAAAAATAACTTTTAATGGCGAGGAAAAAAAAAACAAGTAGCAAGTTCTGAGGGATCCACAAATCAGTGTTGAATAGAACATCAGAAAAGGGAATTGTACAAAATTTCCATTGAGTTTTAAGGACATTAAATTTGTTAGGTAATGTTGAGAGCTGAGAGTTAAGTTTTGGGGATAGATGTCGTGTTAACCGAACTACCTGCCACCTTTGGGTATAGGAGTGGGATTTTATAGAAAGTTGGTAATAGAATTATGTGATTGAAGAATAGAACATAAGGAAGGCGATATTTTAGTAGATTTCAGAAATTTAATCAAAAAAAAAAAATGAATTTCGATTCATAATAAATTTTTTTTACAAGTGGGCGCATATTAAAGATTTCATAACGTTCGAAGCTCTAAAAATTAACACGCAAAAAATCATAATACCCTCCACCATTTGGAACAAATTTGGAAATTTTCAAAAAATAAGATCCATTAAAAAATCTGTTAAAATCCTAAAAATACTGGTCGCTATATTGGAGTCCATACGAAGACGTGGACCTGGCCCACAGTCAACTTTGGTCATAAACCATTACAATACTAAAATACGAAACTTAAAAAAAATCCTGTGAATAATTTAGCTAAAATCGTCAAAATACCGAATATAGAGAGGTACTGATATATGGGGCTTATGCGAAGACCTGGGTCTGCCTAGTCAATTTTCTGTCACAAGCTGTAGTATATACTAGGAACTTCAAATCCCAAATGTCAAACAATTTCGGTGAATATTGTACCTAAAATCATCAAAATACCGAATACAGGGAGGTATTGATATATGGGAGATATACGAAGACCGGGAGCTGCATAGACAATTTTCTGACATAGACTATGGTTCCCATTACTAACTCTTTATACGAAATTTGAAACAACTCTTACATGGACCTGCAAGGACAATTTTCTGTGACAGACTGCACTACCTATAGGGAACTTCAAATACGAAATTTCAAACAATTTCGTTGAATATTGTACCTAAAACCAAATCAAAATACGGAATACATACGGAATATGGAGGTACTGATATATGGGGCCTATACGAAGACCTGCATACACAATTTTTTGTCATAGGCTGTAGTACCCATTACGAATTCTAAATACGAAATTTGAAACAACTCCGATAAATAATGTCGCTAAAATCATCACAATACTGAATATAGGGTGGTACCTTTATATAGAGGGCATACGAAGATGTGAGCATGTTTACGCAATTTTTTGTCATAGTCTGTAGTACCCATTACGAATTCTAAACCCAAATTTAGAACAACTCCGGTGAATAATATCCCTAAAATCGTCAAAATATCGAATATCCGGGGGTATCGTTGTATGTGGGCTATACGATATCGTGGACCTTTGTAGATATTTATCTTCCAGGGGGTAAGTACTCAGAAGGAACTTCTTTTGTGGATTTTCAGATAATTTCATTTCAAAATTTTGCAACCTCCGAATATCGGGGTTACCCTTACATGAGGGCTATACGATATCGTATACCAATATAAAGACTGATGTGTGCAAAATTTTAGATTCCTATCTTTATTCGTTTGGACACTAGAGTGGTTACAACAGACGGACAGAAGGACAGGGTTAAATCGTCTTAGAATTTTACGTTGATCAAGAATATCTAAAATTATTATTTCGATGAGTAACAAACGGAACAATGAAATTAATATACCCTCCATGTTATGTATGGTGGAGGGTATACAAATTTTATGATCCGCGAAGTATACATCTTTGGAAAAAAATATCCATCTATCTGTCAGTCTGCAAAATGCATAGTACTGAGGATATACTAAGTTTGCGTTATATTTGTAACTACTCGAAATTTAATAATGATGGTCACTCTTGGTCCGAAGCGTTTAGATAAGACTAGATTTTTAGAAATTCGAACTAGAACGGCACCTAAAGTATTAAAAGGTACTAGATATGGTACCCTTTGTATTGGAGGAAGCAGTAGAGCTGGAAATCTTTCATTTGGAATTCGCACTATTAGTGTACGAAAAGTACAAAAATGTTCTAAGTTTAATAGGATTTCGTATCATGTGCACGGTTAGAGCTAAAAATTGACATTCAGAATATGAATCAAGGTTGAGAAGTACAGTCGATATAAGGAGGTTCTTTTGGACGTGTGTATACGAAAAGGGTTCTAAATTTGGTACAATTCGATTTTGAAGGAACGGATGGAGCTGGAATCCTGAAATTTGAAATTTACATTATGTACCCGAAAGGTACTAAATGTTACTAAATTTGATACAATTTCGATTTGGATGAACCAATAGACCTGGAATTCTGAAATTAAGAGATAAGATTAATATTGCATTCTGGCACTGAGAAATGTATATAGTGTTGGAAATTCGTACTTATGTGTACTAAATTAGGTTCAGTTATAATTTTTGTTGAACCAATAGAGTTGGATTCCTGAAATTTGGAAATATGATTACAATTGCATTGTAGGACTGGAAATTTAGGAAATTTAGGAAATGGTAGGAAATTTCGGTTTTATATAGACAATGTTCTGTCATAGAAGGTAGAATCCATTTTGGACTCAAAAGAAGGAATATTAAAATATTCCATTAGGAATTGTGGCTAAAATCATCAAACTACCGATTATAGTAAGGTGTATAAACAATGTTCTGTCGCAGGATTTATAACCCATTATGAACTCAAAATAGCGAATTTTAAACTATTCAGTTGGAAAATGTGGGTGAAATATTCAAAGTACCGACTCTCCGGAGGTACAGTTATATGGGGCTATATAAAATCGTTGCCCGATTTAGCTCATCTCTGCACATGATTTGCCTACAGACAAAAGGCAGCTCTATGCTAAATTTTAGGTTTCTATCACAACCGGTTTGGACCCTAGCTTGATTGAAACAGACGGACAGATAAAAGAACCAACATGGGTGAATCGCCATAGAAATTTACTCTGATGGATCAAAACTGATTATTTCCATGAGTTACAAACGAGATGTCAAACTTAATATCCCCCGATAAGTGTGTGAATATTCAGACTTGAATTTCAAACGCAACAATGCCGTTGGGTATGAGGACAAATGTCCCCATTTACTCCAATGGCCAGCTAATATCAAACATAGAACACTGTTTTATATAATATTCCCATTTAATATAATGAGCAATGTGTTATATTGTTATTCAATTTCTAATCAAAAACATGCTGAAGTTGATGTTCTGCAAAATCTCCTTTATAACCATTTCCAACCAATCAGCCATATTCTCAAAGTTCACCTTCACAGCACTTTCTGTAGCTGAAGTTTATTCAAATGTTTCAATTAGGTTGTTTGAAAACAATCTCAATAAAGCTCCATTTTAGTTTTCAGTTTCCAGCTATCCATGGCTTTGCGAACATTTATGCAGCCATATTAAAGCCAACCGATCATTTACATTTTTTGCCCTGCTAGCCATTTTTTGCCGGAAGTGCTATGGCTTTCCGTGTAGCAGTGGCCAAAGTGTAAAATGCAAATACCAACAAAAAAAAAAAAAAAAGAGAATAACCTTCAACCATATTGTAAGTGACTTTAAATCCGTGCAAAGAATTTCCAACGAGCGTAGACCTAAAAACCTTTTAGCACTAATCCTTTGAATTGACACACACAGAGACAGACGCATACATACACATCAGTACATCAGCATATATGTGTGGATCTTGTAGTAAGCAGAGCATACAAGTTGGATATGGATGCATGTAAATGTAAAGGGTTGGATGAAAGGAAAAATATTTGGAGAACATATGTAAATCTGGGCGAGTGAAAGAAAATAGGGAGTGCGGTCTTTTTCTCTTTGTGGGAAAGAAAACATGCATAATGGGTTGTCAGGTTATGCCTCCAGACATGGTTTTTTTTGAATATTTGATAAGGGGTGGAGGCGTTGTATATTGATGAAGAAATTAAAAAAGAAACGTGGGAAGCAATGCCCGTCGTGTTCATTGATGTAGTTCAGAGTGACGGGATGAACATAAAAATCAGTATTTTGCCGATTTTCTTTTGAGTATTTTTTGTTCTTGTATCAGCAAGATAATCCAAATTGGCTTAGTTATATTTGGTATTAGGAGGATACAATAAGATTGATGTTGGGATAGGTTGTATGTAATGAGAATATTTCGACGTAGGCGGAGTCGATTATTTCTGGATTTTTACACCTAAATCTGTACACATGACAAGACATGATTTAAAACCTAAAAAAAATTGAGTTCGACCGAACCGAACTTTCAATACTCTCCTTTATACACCACCAAAAACATTTATAAATAATAGTATGTGGATTTTGGATTTTTTCGACTTCGGCGAACAAAGCTGATTGCTATCGAAATCGCCTATAAATACCGGAATACCCGGCTCTTTCTTGGATCACAGGATATTAGTTGTTTAAATGCGGTATCAGACAGACATCTTATGGAAACCAACAAGGACTGAATTGGCCAAATTAAAATATCTTGCATGAAGCATGATCCTCGATGTCTGAAATCAGCCAACGATGTCGGGAGAATAGTGCCTTTGTTCAAGAAAGAGAAATGAGAAATCTTGTCCAATCACATACACTCCTTGGTTAAGGACCTTGCTATTTTCAGAATCACAGCAAGGAGGGCCACTACCTGCCTTTAAGGATTCACAAAAATGTTAAATTATGAGTTCCGAATGATATTAGTAAGTCCTTTGCACATTGGACCCATATCAAATTTTGCTGTTCAAAACAATTTGAACATCTCCATGTGTTAACTGGAG